TTCCAGTTGATTGACTGGCATATGTTTTATACCATGTGATATTACAGATAATTGACAATTTAGCTGAAGTGAAAAAATTTCTTCGTACAAGAATATAATGGGAGCTAAAGTTGAATTTCTAACTGCTCAAGTCATGTGATTAGAGAGCTAGAAAATTTCTCACAGACAGACAGTTTCTCAGCTGTTCAGACAAAATTACTGTGTGTTATTCCTTGTATTATTTGCATTAAAAATATTTTGTGGATGAGTAGCATTGATGTAAAGAAGTAAGTCTAATATAGAAGAACAGTTGACAGCTAAAAAATATTACACAGGTGAGTGATATATTTTTTGTTTTTCTTATCTATTCCTTATTTATTATTATAAAAGTAACAAAAAATGTAAAACATAGAAACGTTTAGGCTAGATAAGGTTAAATTAGGTAATGTAAATAAATATAATGATGATGAAAATAAAATATTTCTACAAGGTATACTCACTAGGGCTAACAGCTTATGGGTAGCATGAGCTTTTTGTAACTTGGTTAGTGTAACATTTGTTACATGTTACTGCATATTTTGACACTTTTTATGGTGGGAATTTTAAAATCACTGTCCAAAAGGCAATGAAACAATAAAATTGAATTATAAACAGTTGTATAAGGTTAAGAAGTTTTAAATTATTTAGTGTAAAGAAATGTTTCCTGCTACAATTTGAAGTAATTCTAGAAAGAAAAAAAATGCTAATTTTGATTTTTTTTTAGGGTGGTTATGAGGTCGGTCAAATTGATCTAGTCTGTATTGAGTAACAATAGAACAAATAACAGATAAAATATGAAGATTTAAAAAAAGAGTTAAACTGACATTCTGGATCATTAGTAGGGCCCTGGAACAACTGTGCCACAGTTAATGCAGCCCTGGATATACCTAACTTTAATGAATGTTGAGGAGTTAAGCTCAATAAATAAAGTCTTTCTTTTCTTTTTAGTCTACATTGATATGTTGAACAAATATATAGGAATTTTATAAAATTTCAGTGGAATCTGATTGATTTTGATGTAGATTTTAGCTTCCAAAAAAAGTGATTGAAAAACATTCTGAGAAAGTCATTGAAAAGCATCTGAAATTGATCTGAGCAATTCAGTATTAACCATTCTTTTGGTTATAAACATGTCAATCAAATAAGTACATATTGCTTGAAATAACATGTCCAACTAAAAAGGCGGGTGTATCTACTGTTGGGGGGGGGGGTGACAAAATTTATTTTTCTCTGATCTCTGACTTGGCAATGGAATTTGAACTAAGAATGCATAATCTTGTTATATTATAATGGTTAGATTAGGTATTATATCATTTTATTATTTATTTATTTATTGTTTTTTGTCTTCATTGACATTGAAGTAAATTAGAATATGATGCATCTAACTTTTGAGGATGATATATTAAAATTAAACGATTATAATAAGATCTCCAGTTACATCTTCATAATCTATTTGTCTAAGCAGTGTCCTTGCTATCGTGAGAAAGGAAGGGGTATTTAAGAGTTCATTTAACATCGAAGCATGCAATTAATTTTTTACTCTAGTCATTTTAGAAAAAGCTCTCTCTGCGCTGCAATTCGTGGCGAGTAGACACAAGTATATTCTTATGCCACGTCAACATTAGGAAAAACATATTCGAGTTTGTTTTTTCTGATTGCTTTAATGCATTGTTGGGCGGATGGTGTTTCACTATTAAAAGATTTCGCACACTGTACCATTTCATCGGGAAAAGAACTGTCTAGATCTGGAGAGTATATATCTACCAATCTTTTAGCTGCAGCAAAAAAATTCAGCCTCATTTAAGTTTTTGAAATTAGATAGAAAACCAAACTTCATCTCTGTCGCTGAAAATGCAGCAAGCCGATTTTCCGAACACATTTGTAACTTGTCAACTATCGATATAAATATTTTCTCCGTGAAACTTCTGAATTCCAGATAAACTAATTTCACCTTCAGAAGTCTCATGATTTTCCAGCTTTATTTTTCTCTTTCTAGAAATCTCATTCCTAAGCTGTTCTTCTACTATATTTGAAAGCTGATGAGTTTTAATTTCGATTCTATTGAATTCTTCACATAGTAAATTTACATATTCCTTCAGCGAACTGATAAGCCTTATAGCAGTTGACAAATCAAAGCTCTTTTCTTGAAGCTTAGCACCTATAGCATCAAATCTTCGAATAATGTAATACCAAAACACTGTCATAAAAGCAATATCTAACGTTATCATTTTATTCATCAAAACAGTAGTTTCATTTCTTACTGTTTGCCTTTCATCAAAATCCTTAGATAAATTCTGTCGTAGTTTTCATACAGAATTTTTGTTGAAACTGATCTGGCTGACCATGTTGTTCCACTGGGGTTCTTAAGAGTAACTGATCTCCCGATCGCTTCTTAAGCCACCACAAATACTTTGCCAACACTTGATTGAAGAAGAATAAAAATTGCACAGAGTTTGAAGAAAATTTAAAAAAATTCGATACACATTCGCACTCCATTCACGCCTACTAGATTTAATAAATGTGCTGCACAAGGGATGTAATCAATATATTGGTTTATATTTTTGAGATGCGCTTGTAGGCCATTGTATTTTCCGGACCTATTTGCTGCATTGTGGTACGATTGTCCACGTGCATTTTGAATGTCGATTCTCATCTTATTTAATATTAATTATTAACTTCAGCCACTTGAAGATTCATAACCGACAAAACTCTCCTGTGTATCAATGTTCTTCGTTCACGTAACGCAATATTATAGCTAACTGATCTGAGTGTGAGACATCGGGTGAAAAATCTACAATAATTGAACAGTATTTGGCATCGCGAATTTCATTAGCAAATGTCTTATAAATTTTATTAGCCGTCAAAATAATAATTTCTTCATAAACTGTGGAGGATAAATACGAGGTAACTTCTCGTCCCTTATTTCCACGCATTCCAAGGTGCTTGGCCAACAATGGAATGAACTTATCTGCAAATTCTAACGCAGCTAAAAAGTTACCATTGTTGAATTTTTCAGTCTCCTCTCTATCCCTTCCAAGTGCTAATCCTTTTCCATACAAATATTTTAGACATTCAACAACTCGACGCAATACCTCTCGCCAATATCGTATTTCGTTTTCGAAATCGTTGTTTAACTTTGAATCCATAGTTTCTATGCTATTAGTTTGTCCCTTCCAGCAGTGCACAGAATAAATGTGGGCTTTACCTTTTTTATGGTTTTATATAGCTCTAAAGCCTTGCGACCAATTGCAGAATCCTTTTATAAATGAGTCATCAGAACCTTTAAAAAGAATGCAAACAACCAAAACGTTTTTCCAGAAAAAGGAGAATAGATCTTTTTTTTCTTTCTCCGTTTTTTAGTTTAATCTTTAAAAAGTTCAACGAACAGCATCTCTGAACATCTGTTGAATGCATACCTCTCTTTGACCCTGAAAAATCTTGCTCTGCTATATTTTGTTCCGGAATTATATTTTTGCATGTCCAAAGTTCTATTATTCTTTGCCTATCCTCTGGTCATAATGCTGGATCAGACGAGAGATCGTTTTCCTCACCAGAATTAGTAATGAGATTTTCAATCTGACATGCTCTTTCCTTTTGGGAATCATAAGGAGATGAAGCTGCACTTGTGCTAGATTTTTAAGTTGTTTCCTTCTACAATTTGAAGTAATACTATAAAGAAAAAATGGTAATTTTGATTTATATTGTATTTTCAATGGTGGTTATGAGGTCTGTCGAATTAATCTAGTCTGTATTGAGTAAGAATAGAACAAATAACAGATAAAATATGATGATTTATCAAAACAAAAGAGAGATTTAACAGCATGGAGCCAAAATAGGGGTTTGTAGTTTGAGTAAATAATGTTTACAGTATTTCCAGCCTTGTTTCCTTACTTTTTACGACCTCTATTTGCAGGTTTTTAAAAAATTCCTATTTTTTTATTTATTTAGTTTCTTATTTTATTTTAAGTGAGAAAAAGTAAAACAGGAAATTAGATCAGAATATTTTAATTTCTGTATTGTAAAAACCGTTTCTTATGGCACCATCATTATGTATAAAAAATTAATATGAAGTGAAAATAAGTAAATAATATGTAGGACAAGAAATAGATATACACAAAGAATTCAAACAGATCCATTTTCTATGGCGAAGATTAAAGGTTACTAAGAAAAACGTGGTTAGAAACAAAGATCAAATTTTTGAAATTTCCGTCAAGTCAATCATTAAAAAAGTATATTCTTAATTTTAGCAATTACATCAGAAAAGGACGCATGTGCGCAGAACATTGTTTGTTGTTAAGCGAAAAGCTACATAATGGGCCATTTGTGCTCTGCCCACAGCGTGTATCGAAACCCGATTTTTATCGTTATAAGCTTCCAAAGTTATCGCTGAACCACCGGCGGGGAAGGGGGCGACTGCATAAAAGAAGAATTAATATAAAGGAAAGCATATCAGTTTATTAAACTAAATTTCTCATGTCTAAAAAATATAGTTTCTGATACCACCTTTTTTCTTGATTCTACATGATTTTGAATATCATAAAGAGTTTATTTGTTGATGGTAACTTGTAGGAAAATTAGGTTGAAAATAACTAATAAGCAATATACGATTATATTCGATAAAAACGGATATATTAAAAAATAATAAACACCTATCCAAAATTAAAACTTTTTTAAAAATAATATGTCATGAGACAGCAAAATTGTGAAAGAATAACAAATAATAGCCTAAGGTCACGAAAAACGAAAACTTAATGAAGTTGATGTCCTATGAGGTTGAAACGTAAAATAAAGGAAGATTTGTTGATTATTTCCTTGTTCAACGATAATGTTAACATTTATTTCCATTAATTGTGCACCCTCCGTTTAACGAACTGTAGTTCCATCTGGCGAATGATAATATTTCTGTAAATATGTTTATTCTGCATAGATAAAGAGCTGTGTGCTGAAACTCTGTTCTTTATTATGCACCGACAATGTGTTAGTATGAAACGGCTCTAGTTACACAGGAGGTTTCAATGACACCCCTAGGACGTTCTCGTGAATTGATGTTAAGTTGTGGCCACGTGATTTTTCTCCACACATCTTGTATATTAGGTTGCATGGAAACTTCACTACTTGGAGTTGAAATGAATGACATCAGAGCGGTTGAACTCGCACTAACGAAACGTTGACCACGGCTGGATGTGAAGTAGCCTCTTGTGAAACATCTTCGAAGTAGACTACGAAAAGCTAGTCGAAAACCTTCGTTCAAATACCCGTATACTATGACATTAAGCCAACCATTTAGCAAAATCAGAATAATGCACACAATGCGGAGTATGTTTCTTGTCTGTGAAGAAAGAAAAAACAACATTCTCTTTTTTTTTATTCATCATTTGTAAAAAATTGTTAAAGAAAACTAGACATGACGAAACAGAGATGTGAAGCACTATGGTTGTAATAATTTAGTCATTTTCTCTCAACAAGCTGCAGTTATAATTTTTGAAAAGCACTTTACATCACACTATCATTCTCATAGTGAAAAATACTCTAAATTCAAAATGTAGCTTGTTCTTTCTTTGCCGGAATGAAGTTATGACAAATTTACAAAACATTTGTATACACATTTTTATGCTAGTTGATGAATAATGCGAACATTTAATTAAGAATATTATATCTTAAATATTCCCGGTTCTAATGCCCAGTAGCAAAAGGGTAAAACTGGTATTCGGCTGTGCGATTTTACTCAATGAACAGAACTAAAACTTTAAGTCATGAAATAACAATTATTATTCATGAGAGAATTTGATAACCAAATACGGAGGAAATGTATTACTACATGTCATAGTCCATGCTAGTGAAAACTAGAAACAAACTGGAACAGAATGAGAAAAAATTTAAAATCTATAAAGCAAACTTACCTCTGTCATAACAGACGACATTCCACGAAATGGATCATGACTAACGATACTAAGCACGTGGTAAGGAAGCCAGGAAATACCGAACATAATTGTGATTATAATAATCATCTTGATTGCCCTCCGGCGTCTTCCATTGAGCACTTGAAGATGCGGTGTGTTGTTATGGTCACACTGGCGCAGGACTCGTACTGCACGAGAATATAGTAGGGTCACAGTTCCCAAAGGCAGCAGATAGACCACCACCACATCTAAAAAGTTTAAACCTAATGCAACTTCTTGACCAAACATACAGTGATCTAAAACTTCCTGGTCACTTATATTCATCATAGCTTTAGTTTGATAATGACGTACAGTAGCAACTACGTACTTGGGAAAACTGTACACAAAGCCCATGATCCAGATCAATGCAACATAACGAAGGGCACGTTGGTTCGTGAAAGTACCTTTTAATGGTCGAACGATAGCGTTATGACGATCTAAAGCAATAGCCACAACAGAAAAAATGCTGTTAAAGACGGCCATTTCAGCAAAGTAGCTATAACGAAATACTGTGCAACTTAAATTGGAAGAAATAGTGTTGAATCTGCTATACAATTTAACGATAATGATTACGGAGGCTATAATACAGTCTGAAAGGCACAAAGATACTACGTACAAGTTCATGGGGCGATGAAGTGTCTTCTTCGCCGCGATCGTCACTACGACCACTAAACTACATCCAACAACCAGAAGAAACAGAATACTATACATAGCTGGGAGTAAAAATCTTTTGAACGAAGAGAGATTATCCGGATCATCAGAGGAGTAGTTAGCTGCTATCCGGGTCAATTCATAAAGGACTGAGTGAGCAATTTGCGTTGTAACTTTACTTGTGCTCATGACAAAAATTTAGCAACTCAATTCCGTCTTTTCCTTTGGTTTCTCCAGTACAGCATAAAAACAACTGAAAAATTGACTGTTTTAAAAATAAATGTTTTTTATAGTACACTTAAATAAAAAAGCAAAAAATGATCTTACTTTACTATTAAAGTACCTTACCTCGAGTTTAATAATTTGGTAGTAGTGGCAGTGGCGTAGCAAGAGGGGGGCAAGGGGGCAGTCGCCTCCAGGCGCAGGTGTGAAGGGGCGCAAAATTTCCTCTGGCCTATAATGCTTATCAATTAATAATTATGTCCTCCCCTAGGATATAGCGCAACTGCCCTACGTTAAGTAAATACGACACAGTGTTACGTTATTTGTGTGTATTACGCTTGCAGTTTTAACTTTTGAAAGCCGCCCACTGAAATACAATGAGACCGAATTGACGTACAGAAGTAAATTACACTATTTCATCATTCATCTGTAGATCAAATACAAGTCCTAGAGTATAACATACAAGTAAGTGTATGTTCAACAAAAAGAAAATAGGAGATTGATGTAACATATTAACTGGTGTGCAAAAATGGCAATATATGCAACAGGCAAAGCCTAGATCTAGGTCTAGTAAACATTATAGGCCTAAGGTAGTGGTTTGTAATTGTATTGGCTGATTGTAAATCATGTCTTACACCAACTAATGTACTAGACTTTAGGTCTAATTGCAGTTATAACTTTATTTCTAGACCCTAGGTCCATCATCATACAAATTGTAGCCTATATTATAGGCATACTTAAACCTATACTAACTATTAAACTAGGCATTACACTGGGACAGATCTAATGACTAAGTTAAGAGATCTAGATGTAACATTTGTTCTAAAAGCTAGGCCTAATAAATCTAAATCTAGAATTGATGAGGCAGGGTCATATCTAAATCTGGGTAGATTCAATACAAGGTGTTTTCAATCTATGCACCCAAATCTAATGTCTAGTTTAGATGTATAAAGCTAAACTTCTGTTATTATTATTACACCTAGATCCAAACTTAATACGAAAAAGATGGAAATAACATGTCTAACATTAATGTTAGATCTAGATGTACTAGCGACTTAATCTAGGAACTGTAATCTAGTACCATTAATTAGTTAGCCTATATTTCAGTTTTCTCATTCTATCAAAACCTTTAATATTAAATATAGCCTTTGAGCCTCTAGGCTTATATTATGTCATGATTACACTCTTCTCCACAGTGTGTGTAGCCCCCATTGGTACAGCGTTATGTCTGCAGACTTAGAACACTAGACACCGGGTTTTGATACCCGTGATGGGCATAGCACAGATAGCCCATTGTGTAGCTTTGTGCTTAATTTCAAACAACAATAGTGTGTGTAATTTTCATTCGAGCAATTTCAGACTTGTCTCCTGTAGTATTCGTGTAGTTAAACCTATCGAGTTTTTAAATGTGATTTAGCAACTGCTAGTAATTTATATGGTGCTAATAAACATGATTTACCAGCATATACACTCATCTGCATTGATTTTCTTACTGTTGTGTCACATTAATTAACATGAATATGGGTGGTCTAAATAATGGCAGTTAAAGTGAAACCAGGTCCAGATGTGCCTAAATAGTCCAGAGTTGCAACTATAATTGTATAATTTAAATGTAATTTGTGGTTAGGAATTTAGGAAAG